TACCCTAACTCAGCCCCCAACACACTGTCTCCCTTCACAATTTCCATCCCAGACCCCCAGAAGAAGGGGAAGGGCTTAGGGAGCCCTCTCCTTTGAATACTGTGCTTGATAGCTTTAGTGTCAATTTGACACACTTGGGTTGAAGGAGCCTCAGTTGGGGAATTGCCTCCATAGGATTGGCCTGTGGCCATATCTGTGGGGCATCTTCTTGAGTGTTGAGTGATGTGGGAGGGCCCAGCCCACTGTGGGTGGTGCCACCCCTGGGCAGGTGGGCCCATGTTCCAGAAGAAAGCAGGCTGAGTGGGGCCAGGGGAGCAAGCCAGTAAGCAGCGTTCCTCCGTGGCCTGTGCTCCAGCTCCTGCCTCCAGGTTCCTGCCCTGAATTCCTACCTTGGGCTCCCTGATGAGCTGTGACCTGGGAGATGGAAGATAAATAAACCCTTTCCTCCCCAAGTTGGTAGTGGTCAGAGTGTTTTGTCACAGCAACACAGCAATGGAGAAACAAACTAGGACAAATACCATCAATAAAGTTCACTGCACCCATTCCCCCAAAAATTAGTCTAATAATGGCAATGGTTCAAAAGTAAGCTGACATCGCTTACTTTTTAGCTTTGTGGTTTTTATGCCTTTAAAATGTGAAGAAGCTTCACCAACAAAACGTTCTATTTAAAATTTTATGATTATTTTAATATATTATGAATAAGTACAAGTTAAAATGATTCTGACTCTCAAGAGATGTTATAAAAGTACTAAGGATGAAAACTAACACACAAAAGAATCACGTAAATTTGAAAGCAAGACTATATTTATTTTCTAGTTGTTCAAGGATTTATTAGTTTCCCAACAAAGATCAATACAAGATTTTGGACTGTTTAAAAACACAGAACATTGATTATTTAAAACTTGTATTTTTTATATTAAATAGTATGGAAGCAATTAAATGTCTAACAACCTTTAAAACATTTTACCAGCGCATGCCTTTAATCCCCACACTTGGGAGGCAGAGGCAGATGGATCTTTATGAGTTCGAGGGCAGCCTAGTCTACATAATGAGTTCCAGGCCAGCTGGGACTGCAGGGAGATCCTGTCTCAAAAAAGCCAAAAAAAAAAAAAAAAATGAACCCACAAAACAAACAAAAAACCCCCATGATTTTACCTTGGCAACCAAAAAGTATGAAGTAAAAGGAACTGACTTGGTCTAATCAACAACTTCATTTATTTCAGGTATGGCAATCCGTGGGATCTGGAGTCAGTTCAGTAAACCTATGTTAAAATTATGCTAACATCTATGTATGTTTATGCAGAGTTCACATTAAAATGCCACTAGAAACCACAGAAGGAAACCACAGTTATAAACTTTATTTGGATTCTTAAATGTCTTACATTCCTAGGACAACATAATTTATATAGTTTTTTCCATGGTTCTAACTATGCACGAGCTGATGAACCCCCAATTCCTCTCTCTGGCTCAGATCCTTATCCTAAAAGGTCAGTATTGTATCTCCAGCTGCTAGGGGGACATTTCCATTTTAAGTCTCCACAAGCATCATAACCTTGCTTTTTGTAAACTGATCTCAATGTTTTCCCTTTAAACTAGCTTGTTCTGTATTCCTTTCTACATTAATGGCTGCACCACATAACCTAGACAGCTCAGGAGTCCAGCTAGATCCCTTCCTCTGTCCCGTTCTTCCTTTGCAGTTCATCAGTTACTAAGTGTAACCAAGGCCTTCCTCCTGGTAAACATCTATGCAATCAAGCTTCTTTTACTTGACTCCACAATCAGGCCTCAGTTAATTTTTCTGGATGATCTCAACAGCTTTGCCTCCAGTTTCTTTTTCTTAATTTCCCTCATTTCAACCCCTCTTCCAGAATATACTCAGGGTGATGTGGTGGTCTGAATGAGAAATATCCCCACAGTCTTAGGTATTTGAACACTTGGTCTCCAGTTGGTGGTGCTGTTTGGGGAGGCTATAGAACCTTTAAGAGGCACAGCCTTGACAGAAATAGTACATCACTGGGGGTGGCTTGGAGAGTCTACAGCCTTGCACCACTTCCAGTTTGCTCTCTGCTTTCTGTATGTGCTTGAAGATGTGATCTCTCCTGGTCCAGCTGCCTGCTGCCATGCTTCTTCCACCATTATGGACTATCCTTCTGGAACTATCAGGAAACTAAATCCTGCTTTCTATAAGCTGCCTTGGTGAAGGTGTTTTATCACAGCAACAGAAAAGTAACTAATACAGTGACTGAACAGGCAAGCCCCCACTCACATTTCTTTAGTTGTTCCTCTTCAGAACTCACATGCCATGTCTCCTATACCATTTTTCATGTGTTTCTATTTTAATCTAATGTTTGAAAATCTTGTATACCAGAATATTTTCTTTTGCACATGCTGGCTCTTCTACCTAGAAAGCCATTCATTAATCCACTCAATAAATGACTGATTGTCAGGTGTGTACTAGATACTGTATGGGACTCTGAAGATCTAAAGAGAGGGTAGATTTTATCCTTAGCTTCCATAAAGACCTCTTGGTGAACTTGTCACTATACTTCCCTTGTTTTAGTTCCACATGCAGGAAGTTTCAGATCTTTATGAAAACTCCAGATTAATTCCTGTGCTGGTTAGTTTTTGTCAACTTGATACAAACTAGAGTCACCTGAGAAGAGAGAACCTCGAATGGGGAATTATCTCCACCAAAGTGGCCTGGGTCCATGTCTGTGAGGTATTTTCTTAATTGCTAACTGATGTGGAAGGGCCTAGCCCACTGTGGGCAGTGCCATCCCTTGGCAGACAGGCCTGGGCTATATAAGAAAAGCAGCTGAGCAAGCCAGGAGAAGCAATCTAGTAAGCAGCATTTCTCCATGGTCTCTGCTTCTGTCTCCAGGTTCCTGCCTTGAGCTGCTGCCATGACTTCCCTCAATGATGGGTGACATGTAAGCCAAATAAACCCTGTCCTCCCAGAGTTGCCTTTTGGTCATTGTGTTTATCACAGCAACACAGAAACCAAACAATAACAACTCCTAATGCTTCTTTCCAAATTAACTTCAGAAATGCTTGTTCCTGGGTCTGCCTCAGTATTTTCTGCTCTCCACAGCAGTCAGGAGCATCTTTCCCTGTGTACCATGGCACCATGAAAATATGTCTGCAACAATACTTTCATATAGTGCTGTAACTTGTGGCTTGACGTTTTCCTCTTAGGCTGTGAGCTTCCTGATATCAAGAGCCTTATCTAGAGTCTAGGATAATGAATGGTAAGAAATTCCATTCAGTAGATGTTATTTCCCAACTATAACATGTCACGTGACTACAGTATACAAATTTTTACAGTTATTCTGATTCTTGAAAGCAACTTTTTTAAGTCAAGAAAGCTATACTCAAAGACTCCAACTCGACACACATTTGCTATCAAAAGATAAACATACACTTTCTCTTGTTTTAAGGCAAAATTTGCCAACGTATATTAATTTTAAAAAACTTTTCTAGCTTTGAAGACTTATAATGGCTAAGTACTTGGAACACATACACAAAAGGAACTACAAGTTTTAGGAGCTAGGGATGTAACTAAGTGGTGCAGCATTTGCCTAGGATGTATGAGGCCCCTGGGTTTGAACTCCAGCACCACAAAAAGGAACAATAATTATAATAGTAATGCTTTACAGTCATATGCAATTGATATTTTCCTTCTGTATTTTGGACATCATTACATTTTAAAATCAAATCTATATATAATATGGCACTTCTCTTTCACTTGACATTATCAATCATTTAATGTCATTTACTGCTTTTTGAAAACAATTTTAAACATGTGTTATATTGTTTTTGCTATTCCACAATTTAACAATTCCAGAATGTTATATTCCAGAAAATAGAGCTTATCGCTACTTAATCCTTAAATATTCTCTTCATATAAAAGGGGAGCTACATGTATTTTTTAATAGCAGTTTGAAGATGGATTGACAGGCCGGGTGGTAGAAGAAATGACACTGCCTTACTTATAGAAACAGGGTCCTGTGCCTATGCCTATGATGGTTCTCACAGTAACCTCAGGAAGTGAGTAGGTCCTACTATCTCTATTAAGAAGGAAAACTGAGGCTCAGGTCAATTAACATGCAAACAACCCATTTACTAAAGTCTCTCCCTTTTTTGAGAATTCCCTTTCTAGTCCTCAAGAATTTTGTTGAGAGAAAGCAGCAGGTAATGAATAGCTCTTTAATTTTTCTCTTCCTTTCTTCCTAACTAATATGTGCCTTTGCAGACAGCTCTTCCTAAAGTGTGCTATGTGTAGGGGTCTCATCTGTATCTGCATTAAACTGCCTCATTTGGAAACTAAACTAATTCAAGTAGACTGAATATCCATAAAGTTGTGAGGCATCTATTCACTCACAAATGGAATCCATTCCTGGGCCAGTTTTCTTCTTCATTCAGAAGCCTATCAGTATATGTGAATGACCCAATCATTCATATTTAATGTGTGTGTGTGTGTGTGTGTGTGTGTGTGTGTGTTCACATGCACTCATGTTTCTGTGTGAAGGTGCACACCTGTATGAAGGTACACATAGAGGTCAGGAGACAACTTTTTGGGTGTTGTTTATGTGTCATCCATCATTTTTTGACACAGGCTCTCTCACTGACCTATAACTCAACAAGTGGGCTAGGCTCCGTGGTCAGCAAGTCCTAGGGCTCCATCTGTCTCAGCCTCCTGAACACTGGGATTACAAGTTTGGGATACCAGTTTGTTTTTCTGTTTTGTTTTGTTTTGTCTTTTAGAGACAGGGTCTCCCTGTAGCCCCAGCTGTCCTGGAACATGTGGATTCTGGGGATCAAACTCAGGTTCTCATGGTTAAACAATTAGCACTTCACTAAGTGATCTCTCCCCAGTCCATAACTGCCAGTCTTTTAACACAGCATCTTAAAAGGGGTGGTGGAAACAACTAGCAGACCTTGAAATGGTCATCAAGACACGCACAGTGATTTTTATTCTGGTTAAAATGGTGAATTCTTACCTTAACTATTAAGCCTTTTGAGTCAACCAACCATATCTTTTTGATAGCTTTTTCCTTTGGTAAACCTTCTTTCTCCATGGCCATGACAATCAGGTGAGCAATCCCCAAAGCAGCCTGAAAAGAACGTATAAAAATAAAGATTTCAAAATGTGTTCCACACATCTTATCAAAGGTTACACATCACATCATTCTGTTCATTAGTAAATGGCTCTGTTGTGTTTAAGAGCTTTCGTCATTCATTTTTACTGGGAGCTAAATACTTTTGTCATATTTGGGAGAGCAAAATGACAACTATGTACTCCTCAGAATCACAACAGAACCACTATTAGTTTGCTAGTTAGCACAGAAAAACCAGTGACATCCCTGATTGTATTGATAGGGATAAATATACTGACAAGATTGACACAAGAAAATACTGGGTTTTACATAATGAACTCATTAGCCTGGCTCACTGGATCACATTTGTTTACTGTTAGGTTCAAGCTCCTCCAACTGAACTTGAAAAAAGAAGTCTGATCATTTAGATGGGAACTTGATAAATTAGGGAAAAGAATGAAATTGACAGGAAGTATGTGCTCCCCAGCAGTTATTCATTCTTTTAATGTGGACAAAGAAACTGCTGTGAAATTATTCCAAGATTAAAGAAACTATCTTCCTTGGCATTTGATAAATTTTGTGATAACCTGTGACATCCCAAATCTACAAAACAAAGGCTCGTTTTGAATCATCTGACCATGAATACTGCTTTTCCTGATAAAATTCAAGAATTAGCCTGTACTGTTCATCAGAAACCTCTGTAAATACAGAGGGCTCACCAAAATAGAATAAGTAGTAATCTACAAAATAAAATGAAATATTAGAGCTATTAGGAAGGCTTGATTTTAATCTGCTTGAACGTGAATTTGTAATTTTCATTCTCAACACTTGCACATATTCATTTCAGTTTTTTATTATTTTTATTTTATGTGTATAAGTGTATTGCCTGCATGTATGTGAGTGCACCCATGTTGTGCAGTGTCGCGGAGGTCAGAAGAGGGCTTTGGATTCCCTTGGAACTGGAGTTAAGGATGGTTCATAGACACCATGTGGGTGCTGGGAATCGAACCCAGGTCCTCTGCAAGAGCAGTCAGTGCTCTTAACCTCTGAGCAATCTCTCCAGCCCCTCATTTTAGTTTTACCTTATGTATTCAGTTTTAAGAACAAGCAAAGTGAAAACTAATGTGATATGTACACATTTGTATCCATGTAACATAGGCTCTTACTTATGGGAATATTACATGTGAAAACTTAAAGTTTCTTAAAATGCCTTATAGTCATAGTATTTCCCATTTATTACATTCTATAACTCTAGAGAGATTTTAGAAGTTTTCTCACAAGAAAAATAACATTTTAATCTGTTTTAGAAATGAATTTGCTTTCTTCTTTTAAATGAGTATTCACAATGATTATACGAAACAATGTAATTGGGCCTTGTGCAAGTTTCTTCCAATAATTTCAAATGCCTTTGTTATAATGTTGAACATACAATGTTGTTCTATATGTCTTTAATTCAAAATGATTTTTCTTAAAACATATATGGTTACTTAGGTTCAGGTTGTACTATGTGTGCGATTAAGAAAACTTTTGAATGTGACAGTGAGGGATACGTATACTAACTTAAATATTTAAAGGTTTTTCATATAATCACATATTGCAAACTTTTCTTCATGCACAAAGCCTTAAACATGTATAATAAAGTATATGGTAGTATTTTATAATCTCACAAATTTAAAACTGTGAAAAATGTTTTGACATCTCCAAAGTTTCCTATAATGATGAGACTCTTCAGTAAAAATCTACATTGTAATAGTCTAAAACTATCAGAGAATACTTGCAACCCTGAATAAATGAGGAGCTACTACTAGTTCATAAATTTGAGAGAACTTAAGTATTACACAAGGCAGGTACCTCTCCAGCTCCTTGGAAGAGTATTGTTTGATCAGAGAGCTTGTTCTTGGTTATTCGAAGAGCTGCCAGGAGACCTGCAACTGCAACAGATGCTGTTCCTGGAATAAGCAATAAATATCCATGAGCAATCCTCAGATAGATCCCACTGAATTCTAATTCTTTATTCACATCTTGACATCATCACACAACAGGTAACAGGCACAGAAAGGGAAAATGTGCCTGTCTGCACCTGAGGTGAAATTCTCAAGGACATCAGTATTTTGTGATAGCATCTTACTATTATCCTTGAAAACTTTCCCCAAAGGAGATCTTGTGGCTTATTTTGATGATGCAGTGAATAACAACATGGGTTTGGATTCTGTGTAATTCTGATTTTTTTTGGTGGGTGGGGGAGGATATTTGAGACAGGGTCTCCCTGTAGCCCCAGCTAGCCTGGAACTCACTATGTAGGCCAAACTGGCTTTGATCTCACAGAGATCCACCTGTGTCTGCCTCCTGAGTGCTGGGCCTAAAGGCATGTGCCACCCCAGCCAGCCTGGTTTCGTATTTTTGAGGCAGGATATCAAGTAACTGAGGAAAAGCTCAAACTCTCAATGTGGCTAGCCTCAAACATGAAATCCTCCTGCCTCAGCATGCTGAGTGCCAGGATTACAGTTTGTGGCATCATGCCTGGATTAGGTTTGGATGTTAAGAGGATTTCAGTTCATCCTGCTTACTTACAGAATTTAGAGAAATAAATGTCATGTTAGTATTTCTTATTTGTAAAACAGATTTTACTGTATGACACACAAGTAAATAGTACTATTAAATCCCTCTACCTAATTACTCTTGAGGTTTAAAATATATTACTGGGGGACTGGAAAGATGGCCCAGTGGTTTAAAGCACTGGCTACTCTTGCAGAGGGCCTGGGTTTGATTCCCAGGACCCACATGACAGCTTATAACCACCCATAATTCAAGTTCCAGGGGATCTGATTCCTTCTTCTGACCTCTGTGGACATTGCACAACACAGGTGCACTTACATGGAGGCAATACACTCATACACATAAAATAAATAAATATCTTTTAAAAAATCTTTTACTGGTGGGGCTGGACAGATGACTCAGTGGTTAAAAACATTAGTTGTTCTTGCAGAAGACCCAGGTTCAAATCCCAGCACCCACATGGCAGCTAACAACTGTCCATAACTCCAGTCCCAGGGGATCTGACTGCCTCTTCTGACCTCCGCAGACAATGCACAGCATGGGTGCACTTACCTACATGCAGGCAATACATGCATACACATAAAACAAAAATAAAAAATGAATTTTTTAAAAAAGTTTTAAGCCGGGTGTGGTGGTCCACACCTCTAATCTCCCCACTCGGGAGGCAGAGGCAGGTGGATCTTTGTGAGTTTGAGGCCAGCCTGGTCTACATACTGAGTTCCAGGACAGCTGGGGCTACAAGGAGAACCTGTGTGGTGGTGCATGCCTTTAATCCCAGCACTCGGGAGGTAGAGGCAGGTAGATCTTTGTGAGTTCAAGACCAGCCTGGTCTACATAGTGAGTTCAGGACAACTGGGGCTACAGGGAGACCCTGTTTCAAAAAGCACCCCCCAAAAAAAGTTTTAAAAAGTCTATTACTGAGCTCGTCCACACAAAGGAGGCTCATAGTAAATGCTTCCTATTAATGGCATAGTAGCAATGATGTTTTGATATATTTGAAATTTAATGTTTCAATTTGAAAAATTAATGGTTAATCGCAATTAAAATCTGACTTTATTCATACTTTGTCATTTTACCTATGATAGTTCTTGTTAGGTCTCATCAATGGAAGGTTTTCTTAGGATAAGGTTGTTTTCCTTATTATACCTCACCCACGCAGAAAAGGCACCAGTTCTAATTATCTCTTCACCACGCATACCCTCTCAGGTCACAGAACAGTTCTCTTGCTTTGAACATAATTGCACAGCTCAATCTCTTTATGATTTACTCCTGAAATAAAACTTTGCAGCTTTTTGCATTGCTTTCCAGCTATATGGACATTTTATACCTCTAAAGAAACATTTTACTATAATGTTTCAAGATCATGCAGCTGAGCAGGAAAGTCTAGCCGAATGTTAAACACCCACACTTGGATAAAAGCTAGATCGGAACAGACTTGATGAGTGACAGGATGATGAAGTATTGTGTATGCCAAGGACCGCAACATTTCACCACTAGTGTATTTGTTCTTTTCCTTTTAATTTTTTTTATTTAGCCGTATTTTATTTATTTCATGTGTATGAGTGTTATGCTTGCATGTGTGTAAGTGCACTTGAGTTGTGCAGTGTCCACAGAGGTCAGGAGAGAGTGTTGGATCCCCTGAAGTGGAGTTACAGATGGTTGTTAGCCACCATGTCGGTGCTGGGATTCAAACCCAGGTCCTCTGCAAGAGCAGCCAGTACTCTTAACTGCTGAGCCACCTCTCCAGCCTCATATTTGTTCTTTTCAATCGTGTGTGTGTGTGTGTGTGCATGTGCACGTGCACAGAAAAAAGTGAACCATGGATATATTCCTCTATTGAACCCCACCTGGCTGTTTCTGCTTGGCCGGCTAGCCAGCTAGCAATCTCCTAGGATCCTCCTATCTTCTCTTCCCCAGCACTGGGGTTACAGATCCACGCTACCACTTTTATATGAGTGCTAGAATCTAAATTCAGGTCCTCATGCTTGCATAGCAAACATTTTACTCACTGAACCTTTTCCCTAGTTTCTATTCTCTCTCTCTCTCTCTCTCTCTCTCTCTCTCTCTCTCTCTCTCTGTGTGTGTGTGTGTGTGTGTGTGTGTTCAGGTATGTGTGGGTACACATGTGTATGTGTGCATGTGGAGGCCAGGGAGAAACCTAAGGTTTTGTTCTTTGGGGACCATCCACCATTTTCTGACACAAGGTACGTTTCTCAGTGGCCTGGAATCTACCCAAGTAGGCTCTGCTGGCTGGCCAGTGAGCCTGAGATTCATCCACTTGTCTCTGCCTCCTCAGGGCTGAAGCTACAAGCACCAGCTTTTTAATACATGGGTTCTGAAGAGTGAATTGAGGTCCTCATGCTTGTAAAATGAGCACTGGAGCAGCATTTTACTGACTAAGCTATCCCCTCAATCTTTTAGTTTGTTTCCTTCTTGAATAATTACATAACCTATTAAGAACACAGTTAAAAAAAAACACAGTAAATACCTACCCATTTCTTTTAGGTTTTCAAATTTAGTAGCATATAGGTTTTTAAAGTATTCCCTTATAATGTTCTGGATCTTTTTGGTGTCCATTGCAATGTTTCCCCCTCCACCTCTGATTTTGTTGATTTGGAGGTACTCTTTCTTTCTTTTGGTTAACTGGGCTATCAATCTTGTTTATCTTTTCAAAGAACCAGCTCTTGATTCATTGATTCTTTGTATTGTTTTCTCTGTTTCTATTTCATTCATTTCTGCTCTGATTTTTTAAATATATTCTTGTCTGCTGGGTTTGGGTTTCACTTGTTGCTTTTCAAGTGTCTTGAGTTGCAATGTTAAGTCATTTATTTGTGTTCTTTCCAATTTTTTAATGTAGACACTTAGAGCTATAAACTAACTGGAAGCATTCCCATTGAAATCAGGAACTAGACAAGGCTGTCCACTATCGACACGCCTCTTTAACATAGTGCTTGAAACTCTTGCAAGAGCAATAAGACAAGAGAAGGAAATTAAAGGAGTAATAATTGGAAGAGATAGGATTATCCCTTTTTGCAGATGATCATATTATATCTAAGAGATGCCAAAAATTCCACCAGAAAGCTATAAATTATTAACACATTCAGTAAAGTGGCAGGTTACACAATTAATCTATAAAAGTCTGTAGCTATACCAATAACAAGCAATCAGAGAAAGAGTACATGGAAACACTACCTTTCACAATAGCTACAAAAAAAATCTCAAAATAAACCTGACCTCTACAATAAAAAGCTTAAATCTTTAAAGAAAGAGAAGAGGAAGACATCAGAGGATGGAAGGACCTCCCATGCTCATAGATTGGAAGAATTAATATTGTGAAAATGACCATCCTACCAAAAGCCATTTATAGATGCAATGCAATGCCAATCAAAATCCCCATGACATTTTTCACAGAATTGGAAAAAAACATCCTAAGATTCATATGGAAGCACAAAAGAGCTCGGATAGCCAAAGCAACCCTGAGCACTAAGAGCAGTGTTGGGGGAGATTACTATACCAGATTTTAAACTGTATTACAGAGTGATAGTCATAAAAATAACATGATACTGGAACAAAAACAGATCCATAGATCAATGGAACAAAATTGAAGACCCAAATATGAGTACACACAATTTTAGCCACCTGATATTTGACAAAGGGGCCAAGAACATTCGCTGGAGGAAAGACAGCATGCTCAGCAAATGCTGCTGCCAAAACTGGATCTCCACCTGTAGAAGAATGAAACTAAACCCCTATCTTTCACCCTGCACAAAAGTCAATTCCAAATGGATCAAAGACCTCAATGTGAAGCGTGAAACTCTGAAACTGTTAGAAGAAAATACTGGCAATAGCCTACAAGATATAGGTGTAGGAAAGGATTTTCTTTTTTCTTTTTAAAATAATTTATCGAGAATTTCATACATGTATATAAGGTGTTTTTATCAAAGGAAAGGATTTTCTAAACTGGACATCAGTTGCTCAGGAAACAAGGTTAAGTAAGAATCAACAAATGGAGCCTCATTAAACTAAAAGGCTTCTGTACATCAAAAGAAGCAACCAAGGAAGTGAAGAGAAAACCCACAGAATGGGAGAAAATCTTCACCAGTGACACATCCAACAGAGGTTTA